GAGTGAACGTGCTCGGTGGCGTGGGAAACACGGAGGCAGCACCGTCAAGGGCCGCGCAGGACAGAGGCAAGAAGAAGAGACCGACGGCCGAGTAGAGAAGAAAAATCCCGCCTGTGGATGTGGTGGTTGTGGTTTTGGGTGTTTGTTTTTTTTTTTGTTTTTTTGTGTAAAATTGTGATCGGGGTGGATCCCTGAGATGAATAAAATATGGTTTGGTGTGCAAAGCTACATGGTATGAATGGAATTAGAAAAAGATTAAAAATAATGTGAAAGAAAAATAAAGAAAAAAGAATAAAAATATATTTGAAATCAAAAATGAAAGATGGGGGAAATAAGGAAAATGGTATGGAGAAAATAAAAAAAAAATAATGGAGTTGGAAATCAAACGGAGGAGAGAGAGGGGACAAGCCCATGTGATAAAGTGGCTGCTGGGGACTCCAGAAATAATATATTTGCAACTTTGTTCCAGGCATGCTTTCTTGGATAAAGGGTTTTACAGTCTGAATTTACACCAAAAAGTCCAATCTCTCCCATGGCTGATTTCTGATTTCTGTGGGTCAGTGGCTCCAATGAGCTTCCTGCCATATGTTATCACTCCTTCGCCTTCCCAGACCATTGCAATGACAGGGCCAGAACTAAGGAAGTTGCACAGGCCATTAAAGAAAGGTCTTTCCTTGAGATCAGGATAATGCTTTTGGGCAAAAGCCTTTGAAGGAACCACTATTTTAATCGCCACAAGCTTAAAACCTTTTCGCTCAAAACGCGATATGATTTCTGCAATCAGCCCTCTCTGAACACCATCGGGCTTGATAGCAATGAAAGTGTGCTCCATCTCTGCAGCATGCGCCTCCTGCTCCTGAAGCATGTAGGCTGCAGCAGGAAGGGCAAGCGCCCCAGACATCTATCCTCGGGACGTATTTCCAGAATCGGTCCTCCCGTATGAAGCTAAATAAGGCACCTTTCCTCTTAATAAAACTGTCGCAGCACTACCTACAGCTCGACTTTCAGAAAAGACATGAGAGGTCTGCTTAGAAGCAGAGAGTAGAGACCTGGCAGCTCGGGAAGCAGATCTGCATACCTGAGAGCTCATCGTTGCAGACATGGTGTTCGACGAAATGTCCCAGAGGGATTTTGGGTTTGCTTCGGCGAGGTGGTGAAGAAGAGTGAATGTATGTGTAGAAAATTCTAGCAGACTAGGTTGAGGTCCGGCGGACGGCCAAGGTGAGGTTGCCGCCCGCCGGTGAAGCGAAAAATACAAAGTTCTTAACCTTGCTCTGATACTATGTAAAAAAAATGATGTATTATTGATTGATGTATTGTTATATTTATTACAATGATTCATGATTCCTATATATAGAAGAGGGTGAGTGTGTAGTAGGTAAGGAGTAGGTGAAGTGGAGGTGGTAGTGGTGTGTACAAAAAGTCCAATCTCTCCCATGGCTGATTTCTGATTTCTGTGGGTCAGTGGCTCCAATGAGCTTCCTGCCATATGTTATCACTCCTTCGCCTTCCCAGACCATTGCAATGACAGGGCCAGAACTAAGGAAGTTGCACAGGCCATTAAAGAAAGGTCTTTCCTTGAGATCAGGATAATGCTTTTGGGCAAAAGCCTTTGAAGGAACCACTATTTTAATCGCCACAAGCTTAAAACCTTTTCGCTCAAAACGCGATATGATTTCTGCAATCAGCCCTCTCTGAACACCATCGGGCTTGATAGCAATGAAAGTGCGCTCCATCTCTGCAGCATGCGCCTCCTGCTCCTGAAGCATGTAGGCTGCAGCAGGAAGGGCAAGCGCCCCAGACATCCATCCTCGGGACGTATTTCCAGAATCGGTCCTCCCGTATGAAGCTAAATAAGGCACCTTTCCTCTTAATAAAACTGTCGCAGCACTAGCTACAGCTCGACTTTCAGAAAAGACATGAGAGGTCTGCTTAGAAGCAGAGAGTAGAGACCTGGCAGCTCGGGAAGCAGATCTGCATACCTGAGAGCTCATCGTTGCAGACATGGTGTTCGACGAAATGTCCCAGAGGGATTTTGGGTTTGCTTCGGCGAGGTGGTGAAGAAGAGTGAAGGTATGTGTAGAAAATTCTAGCAGACTAGGTTGAGGTCCGGCGGACGGCCAAGGTGAGGTTGCCGCCCGCCGGTGAAGCGAAAAATACAAAGTTCTTAACCTTACTCTGATACCATGTAAAAAAACTGATGTATTATTGATTGATGTATTGTTATATTTATTACAATGATTCATGATTCCTATATATAGAAGAGGGTGAGTGTGTAGTAGGTAAGGAGTAGGTGAAGTGGAGGTGGTAGTGATGTAGTGGGTTAGGTTTAGTGGAGTAGGTGAGGTGGTAGTGGTGTAGTGGGTTAGATTTAGTGGATGAAGTAGGTGATAGGTTTTAACAGGGAATTTACTTTCAAAAGAACATACGAGGACTAACAGGTGTACATTAATGCCTTGATCATCATTGAAACCAATCTTGGATGCTAGGAAACTATACACACTATTGACGCTAGGGCAACTGAGAAAGCCAGTCTATTAAACTGATTCATGATTTAACCCATCACTGCTTTGGTTTCAAGTGTTCATACGGCGAAAAAACTGCTTCTCAATATGAAGGGACTAGCGGGTATCACTAAAAGCACATGGATACCCGGCAACAATAGATCTTCAAATTTTTCTGTGCTAAGTTTGTAGTTTGTACCCATGAATTTAAGTTCTGCCGATTGCTCCAAAAAAAAAAAAAACTCAAGTCTAGGTCTGAGGTATGACCACAGCTGTTTCATCTTTCTTCCTCCTTGCTTTTCCCTTTTTTGTGGCGAACACAGTTTATTTTACTATTGACTTCATGCAAATATGTGGAAAAATAAAGCATACTTGGAGAAATATACTCAATTTGGAGTTGCAATAAACTGAATTTTACCTGTCTACATATTCCTTCAGGAGTTCTTTCGCTTGAACCAGCTTAGACAGCAGATTGCGGTATACATCAAGATCCCGATCCACACCTCGCTTGTTTATGTTCAATGCAACACAAAGCTGCAAGAGACAGATGAAATTGGTCAATGTTGGATGCACACCCCCACACACACTGGAGAGTTGTAGTAAATAGATCAGCCAGATGTCATATTACCAAGAGTGTAATTAGCATGTTGGATGCACACACATATAACTAGATATTGGACATTTTTTTGACATATGTAGTTGGACAGTTAACATTAATACTATAATGAAACTTTCAAATTTGTCTGACCCAAATATCATTTTCTTACAAGGATAAACATGCCATATGTGATAGCTCGTCATCAAGTTAGTTGATAATAGATGGAAACTAGAACGGAATTCAGATGGACAAAATTATGCATCATTTCTATGTAAACCACACAGATAAAATCATTCTCTCATTTTGAATAACATTTGAAGTGTGTTTTCCTTTCTTTGTATAGCATCCCTCCCTCCTCCCCCCACAAGGTGATAAAAGAAAGAAAAGGAGAGATAATATGAATATACATGAATATACTGCAACAGATGGATTTATTTTAAATTTAAACAATAAGGAAGCAAAAGTTGAAGGAAAATAAAATAAAACAATGCAAAAATTGAAGATGCCCACATTATACTCCCCAACCCAGTGTTATTAAAGGTGCACCTAGGCCCAAGTTCCATCCAAGCCCAAGGTTTGTGCCTCGTAGTGTTCCAGGCCAAGTGACTTCAATAAGGTGCGCCTAGGCGTGCACCTAGGTCCAAGTCCGGCCAAGCCCAAGATTTGCACCTTGTAGTGTTCTAGACCAGGCGACTATGATAAGGCGCCTGACTGGCCCAAAGCTTGCTTCTTGAAGGTTTTTTTTTTTTATTGTTGCTTTAATTGGTTTTGTTTAAAATATGACCATTAATTTAATATGGTGCAGCCACAGAAGATCCCTATTTTTATTACAGTTGCCAATATATTGGACATTCAACCCCAAATCAATGATAGAAGAAAAATTAACCTAATTTCTAATCTCCAAAAAACACTAAATGTTTAACATTTCATTTTATTTATGTTGAACCCTAAACTATTTACTTATATTAAATTTTTTTTTTTCCCGTACAAGGTGTGCCTCACTTCGGTGAAGCTTGTGCCTTGCCTTGCGCCTTGAGCCTAGGCCTCGGCCCCAGGAGACCTTGGCGCCTTGGTGCGCCTATCGCCTTTAATAACACTGCCCCAACCCTTGACTCAACCTCCAAACTCATCACCAATCAAACTCCAGCACCAATTGGAACCTGGTTTCTCCTTGTTCACACCGTGGTTTGTACATGTAGAGCACCATATTTTAGCATCACTAGTTGGATGGCAACATGTTTGTCCACACTGACACTGTCCAACAATGCCAAAATCCCTAAACTTTACCACAAAAATCAATCACCAGATGAATTTGCAGCATCATTCTGAATTTATAACATTTTAAATTACAGCCCTCAAGGAATTCCATAGAGCATGTCAGTCGACCTAATATTATGAATGTAAAGGTTGCATAACTCCCACCCTTAGTAAAAATAATAAATAAAAGAAAGAAACGTTGCCAAACTGCCACCGTATTCATACCACAAAGTGTATGTACTGTGTTATTTCCATAAATTGAATGGACATTACATCCTTTCCTCAGTATCTCAACTACCTTCATGAAAACTTCAGGCTCTCTGAATGACCCCGTCATAAATTAGTCTGGTCTTTTGTGGATTGACGACACCTAGGGTCTTTTGGAGCACAAAATCATATGGAAAGGTAATAATTTCTTAATCAGATTACTACTGGCATTGCCATTGGAGAAGAAAAAGGAGAGTCTAAGACTCTTTGATGTAAATTTATACTTTTTGAGTTCAGAAGAATCTAAAATGCTTCCACGCTGCACCTTCTCTAAGAAAGCCTTGACCTTTGGTAAATCATAATGAGTCTTCACCAGTTTGGTAGCATCTTTGTAAGGATATTCCTTATGAATCTATCCTCATGCTCCTTATCAACAACCTGGTGCTTTGCTGGAACACACCATAGGCTGGACTTTCAAGTACTATTTCAGATGGGAGTATAAACAAGTAAACTAGCTGAGCTAGCTGCATTCCCAGCTAGTTAGTATGCTTCTTTCACTTACAGCTATCTACAACATTCAGCGGTTGTGTAACTGCTGTTAGAACTCTTTGCTTAATCCGTTATGGATGTTGAAAAGTGAAGATTGGTTCTGAACCAGGTCATGTCCGATGATCGGCGATGAACTATCCAGTGGACCGTTCCAATAAGATTTCAACCTTGAACAAAAATCCATTTTTGATCTATTTCATCTATTCCGTTACTGGAATAGGGAGGATACATGCTACATCACAATTTCAAATCAGAAGAGAGATTTCCAAAAATACCTCTGTAATTCCCAGAACACAAACAATGTTAGCTAAAAGAGCCTAGGTCACAAATCCTATTTTCGACTTTTGACTATTTCTACTAAACAAGACAAGACAGAACAAGACTGGGAAGGCAATACCATTCTTATCCCGCCCTCTAGCCCCAGTGAATGAGCAAAGCAAGCTATAGCTGAGACCAATCAAGGAAACTTGCCCTGCCAAATTGATCATGGAAGTAGGGGATAGAAATGAGAATGGCAAGGAAGAGACGAAGCATGAGACAATCCATTCTATACTTGTGAGAATCGGTTTCACCGACATAACCTCTAACCCAATAAAAAATAGACACTTGTTGGCTCACTTATTTACTATGGAGCATGTGTGTGGGCACTGGTACTGTACGGGTATGTCAATACGGTACAATCTAAAAAAATTGTATAGATACAACTAGGTACATTCATAAAAAGGTATTTATTTTAATTTGGAGTAACATAAAAATAAGTATTGTGAATTAGGTTGTTAAGGATCCAACCTATAACTCACATTTTATTGTCAAAAAGTAACATATAAACCAAAGTTAAATTCATTGTATTAAATAATTTACAAGATTCATGCTAAGCATAGTAAAAATCTAATGAAACTAACTTCACTTCTATATAAAAGAAAATATTATTCCGGTTGAGGTATAGCTTGGATATATATTAGGTACCTTGGGGATACGGTAAAAATTAAGAAAAAAAAAAGCATTTAGGTACATGTTTTGTGTATCCAATACGTATATAGAAGTACAATGCAAAATACCAGTACCCAATACATACCTGGTACAGGTACGACATTTTTTTGAAGTACCCATCCTTCATAACTTATTTATCATACAAATATAAGGTTGGTTGCTCCACATTGTATCATTCTTTTATGATTACCATTCAAGTATTCAATATCTTCATCCCCCACCCCCCCAAAACAAAAAAGAAAATATATACATACTCCCTCCGTCCCAAAATATTAGTCCCTTATTCCATTTTTCATTATCTCAAAATATTAGTCTCTTTTCAAAATTCAAAGATTAAAATAACCTGAATTTTCTATTTTGCCATTCTTTTAAATTTATTACTAATATTTTTGAAGTGTAATAATTATACTACCAACGGGTAGTTTTGAAAAGTTAATATTTTTGAAATGTAATAATTGTTCTACCAAAAAAAGTTGGATTCCCCAAAAGGGACTAATATTATGGAACGGAACGAGTATATATATTCCTTTATCAAAGTCGAGCAAAGCCCAAAAGGCTTCAAAGCAAAGAATGAAGAAAAGTTAGAACGAGTCGTTCGGAATCTTCCTCTCTCCTACCAAGCAAGACAAGATCACCTAACTTTTGTACATAGGAAATGAGACTAGAAGAAGATTCGTCACTGGTCTAGAGATATCCTAGATATAAGAGCAAAAGAGGCCAAGTGGTAGGTAGCCAACCGCAAGACACAAAGGCCTTTAAGCAGAGCTTTCCCACCAAGCACACCTAAGAGAATAGGCATCACATATCACAAAATTCACTTCTGCTTTCAAAAGACAACTTGTGTCCTTATACAAGATTAAGCAAGAAGGCTACTTAACCAAGAAGAACATAAGGGGCATGTTTGATTAGTAAGATTATAGCATAAGATTGGAATTGTTAGTCCATGGACTCACAATCCCATGTTTGATTGCAAATTTTATTAACCGGATGACATGTACGCCAGACATTCAATCCGACAAAATTGGGAAACTTCTAATATTGAGAGGGGATGGGGATCATAATTTCAAGTATGAAAGAAAAAAAAAAAAAACAAAACAAAACAAAACAAAATGAATACATACCAAATGATTATCTCACTAATTTAATTAGATAACTAATCCTACACTAATTCATGGGATTATTAATCCTGTTGATCAAATAAGGCCAAGAGGTAATAATCTATTAAATGAGAAGTATGTCACGGACTGGATGCTTGTCATCCTCTCGAGAAACCGGCTCCACGAGTGGTACTGCATATCCCGTGTATTATGCCCAAGGACCAACCCAGGAGATGTGATATGGATCTATTCTGCCTGCCTGCCTGCCTTGTTACTCACAAGCTAATATGCTTGCAAGGTGCTTGGTGTAAAACTTGCATCCCCAATGAGCCAGTACGTGACATGCTACCACCGCCAATCCGTGGCACCCTCGTCAGGAGGACATTACCCTGCCTGCCTCCATGCTTGTCCGTCCCTTACCCATGGGAAACCCGCCCCACGCAGACACCACCCTTGGTGTGGACCCCATAATGAAGGTGCTTGGTGTAAGTCCCATGTACCGTCCCCATCATAGTACTCCTATGCTGGATCTGATACCACTTGTCATGGACTAGGCGCTTGTCATTCTCCCGAGAAGCCGGCTCCACTAGTGGTACTGCATACCCCATGTAATTTATGCCCAAAGACCAACCCAGGAGATGCAATAAGGATCTACCCTGGCTGCCTTACCGCTCACAAACTAATGCACTTGCAAGTCGTGTGGTGTAGAACTCGCACCTCCAATGAGTTGGCACATGACAAGTAGCTCATAAGTGGCTTATAAGTAGAAATCTATGTGAACCAAATTTTGGCATTTCTCTTTTTCTCAAATTTCACATGGTAGTGAACTTTAGGAATATATATATTGGGTTGTCATTTTGCACAAGCAAGCCAAAGCTCCAGGACACAAGACTTATTTTGGCATCCCTACTAACATTGCAAATTACCATAACTTTCTACAAGCACCTGGGGCCTCAAGGATGTTAGCTCCTTAGAG